GTCACACTCTAAATAAGTAGAAATAGAGTGATAAGTCACTCGAATGTAACAAAAATTAAATGAGACTCTTAATAAGTTCGATTCGGCTTTAGAAAGAACTAAGGTGTGAATTTTCTCACAAAGGTTGATTTGATTCAAAGATTGATTAAAAATTACAACTTGTTTAGCCAAATGAGCTTATGGAATTCAGAAAGACAAATAGAATTAAAGTTACATATGTTCTATAACCAGAATAGTGGATCACTACAAAGCTTTGATAAAGTTCTCTTGAAATTAGTAGAAATTCTTTGAATTCGACAACTATTAGTGTGATCCAAATCTTGTTGTAAGTTAACTTGAAAATAAATGTGTAAAATTGAGATTTTGAAGCAGATTGATTCAATAACTTTAGTTTTCTAATCTTGGCTCAAAATGTCATCAAAAGATGGATCATGGAGATTAGACTCGTTTTGAAATAAGCTACGGCCAATCAATATGCATTAACGTAATGCCATTTAAGTTAAATAAGCTACAACCCAATCAACATGCATTTCCTCTCGATCTAAATGATAATTAAATCAGTCCATTTTGGTTTAGTTTTAATTCATGTTGCGGGCTCATTAATTTTAGTCTAAATACCAAGTTTTGACTCATTTTTAAATCTATGTACTTGTTGGCTAGCTTACCGAGTAACTCATGTACTAAGTAGGCATTGGATATTGAATAATCTATATTATTCAGCTACCATGTTTTCATCAAAATTAATTCTGCTACTTGGAATAATTGAAATCAACAATATGATTTTTGTCAGGAGTTAATCCTGCCTTTACTCTATTTGAGTTGTCCAGCAAAATCTTCCAGTTCAGTTTTCACATAACACTATCAACGATAGCTTCACTTGGAGCTGTGGAACGAATCAATTCATTCCCTTTTTATTTGGTAAATGAAACCAATCGAACACGACCCTGACGTTAGCATTTTGGAGGGACAATCTATTGCCACGTTTATCGACAATTCAACAGGTGTCTAAAATGATTTGGTTGGTCGTGCTCACCAACGCCATTTATCTGGATTCTGTGATTGTTTGCATGTAGAGTCTGACACGTATACTCAAATTCGATTGATCCTACCCGCTAAGAGTAGATACGAGAATGATATATTGCATAGTTAATTGCCTCGGAATTTATAGTTATCCATGAGTTGAAATTTTTCAAACTGTCGGGAGGGTTTTTTTTTTTTTTGATAACTCTTATCCATGAATTGACAAAGAACCACATGGTGACATAATCCCTTTCCTCAACATGTCAACTCAGTAGATAACATCAAGGATTCAAGTAAAAGAATCAAAGGTACTGAACTCAATTAATCAGAGGGTAAAAGCGTAAACCAGGAGGCATTATGAATTTATAAAATCTAGCGAAAAGTTATTGAATTTGTGTGTGTGTATATATATATATATATTAGGTAGCCAGTAATTTGGATAAACCCATATATGAGAAGAGTGTAATTTAACCGAAGTATCAAACATGTGTGACTGTGTCTGTCACGGGATTCTTCAGGCTCATTTCTCAGAACTGGGGTACCAAAAGAGCCATCATAGCTGATGTCACTGGCCGTTACATGGTCTATTTTGGGTCTATGCTGGACCGTACAACAAGCTAGAGAACAGGTGGCGGGTTTGCTTTGCTTCCAATCTCAGAGTGCAGCAACCATAATCTACGAAGGAGTGAATGAATAATAGGGGAACAAGTGTACTCAGTCTGGGAACAGAACATGCGCCTTTTAGGTCTCTCTTCCTTTGTGATCGTGGTTCCGTATGATTCGCACCAAAATAATTTGTAATGGCTTTTTCACGCGGAAAGAGAGATGACGGGCTTTGTCTTTTGCAAAATGGTAGTTAGTTTAGTTTCACAAGCAAGTCCCCACATAATTGAATTTTTGAAGATTGAAGAATTGAGATCTTGGAGTGGACATGCGAATGTGTGACCTTTGTTCTTTCCGAACCTGTGAAATGGATAAAGTTGGAAAAAATCAAAATGAATTTGATGAGGATTGATCCGCGAAATGGGATTATAGCCATCGCTGTCTAAACATCAACAACAACCGCAATCATGGAGCACCGACCTTTTACTCTTCTGCCTTTGTTTGTGCAGATTAATGGGGATGGTTGAATTTCTCAGGACTCTCTCGTCTTGTCAACGGATGCCATCTCCATGAGGAACAATTTAATTTTGTGGACTACGAGGCTCTTCTAGTTGGGAGAGTTTCTTTCATTTCACATGAGCGAGGGACATTTTTTTGGCTAGGGAAACACACTATGCCTTTTATGGAATATTTTCGTGAAAAATATGGATTTAGTTTTGTAACGGAAATTGTCTCCTTATCAAATTTCCATTTTTAGTTTATTTTATTAGTTTTATGCCAAACGAAATTAATGGTAGACAATATCATCACTCTCTCTATCTACTGCTATTAATGATAATTAAAATACTCTCTATCCAATTTGAGTTTGATCATTAAGTGTTTTTATCTCGAGTTTTGAAAACAACAGCCATCCAACCTAAAAATGACAATTTTAGCATAAATCATAGTCAAATCTTCCTCTATCACGATTTAATGTTAAAATTGTTTTTGGTGTAGATTAGAGCTTATTCAAAATACACGTGTGCAAATTAAACGAAAATTCTTAATTAATTACCTCTAATTGAACATGGATGGAACGGTAACGTTATCTAACATTATTTTAAGTTTAAAAAAAATTGTTAAAATTAAAAGGTTTATAATTCAATTGATGATGGAGTGAATTAGTAGAAACTAAATTGAAGTTTCTCCAAATTTTCACATGAATTAGTCAAATACATATTTATATTTAAACATGAAATTCATAACCCAATCGTTGCAAAATCTAAGTGACTTTTAGTTAAACTTCCAATGATAATGAATTAAGCAGCCAAAATAAATCAATATTTTATTATTATTATTCGTCAAGAATAACAAAGCCATGCCTTGGACAAAATGGTTTACCAAGGTTTGCGATGTTATTGGCAAAGAAAAACAAAAAAAGGGCCTTTTGACTTTTAGTTTGGCACACCCGCATCCTTATCCTTTTCATTGGTAGGAATTAGGTGCGAATATCCTCCCAAATGTGATTGCTTCTCAAAATTATTACTATAATTATTTATTTATATTTTTCGAGGGTCAAGGTTCCTCCAGAATTTCAAAATGCTTACATCTTCCCCTCCAGCTAATGGTGTGTGTTCTTTAAACAACTTTCCCTAAGTCCAATAGCCACATTCCAAAAAAATTGTGAGACCATACCTAAAGAAGAAAGGGTTTATTTCTTATCTTAATGGAGAAAGGGTGCGCCCTTATGAATAAAGTGAACGAATCAAAGCTCAGAACACCCTTCCGAAAGGGGAAGGGGTCTAGTTCCTTATCTTACTAACAACTATAATTCCAAAATATCTTGGAGAAAATAGGCATAGAGCATAAGCATGAACGTTTTTCGAGGTTCTCTCTTGGGTAGCGATGGCTGCCATTTTTTTCTCAACCAGTCACTTTCCCACTAATAGTGATTTTTTTTTTTTTTTAAATCAGAATTGGAAAAATCGAACTTAGAAAGGATAAATATGTCTATTCCTAAATCATTCCATATGCTCAAAGCAATATGGAGAATAAGCTATAAAGGCAACTGTGATTTGTAAATATTTGAGGACGTTGGCCTAATGATTTACGAGATGCACTCTCTGCTCGAGTATTAGGGTTGAAGCCTCATGCTAGGTGTGAGAAACAGAAGTTTTGTAAATTTTTTTTTTTTTTAACTTGATCTGAGATGTATTTAATCTCCACATATAAAAAAAGTTGAAAACTAAACTAAGAATACCGTTGATTTTAAGACGGAAAAACCGTCATGTACCAATTTGCACCGAAATCTCAACGGTGTTGGTTGAGTTGAGCTGATTTAATTATTATATCCCAACCTCCAAAAAAAAAAGAAGAAAACCGATTTATATATTACTTTGGAGGAAAAAGTTAAACCAAAAACTAATGCTGTCACCTCAATATTCAAATCGTGACTCAGTGGAATCTATATATTTCTTATGATGAAATTACGAATTCAAAATGTTGGTTGCCACAAGCGGCCGACATGATTCTTGATCTGAAGTTACTTCCTGCCATTATGTATCTTCTTAATTATTACCCATCCCCCTCTTTGTTTCCCCTTTTTCTTTATTTTCATTCAAGTTGCCTTCGTACCCTATTTTAGCATCTTGAAATTAGGGGAGCCTTTTTTATTTGAGTATTAGTTGATATTGCATTGAGATTTAAAACAACTTTTCAATTCGATCAGAACTAGATGTTAGAATTGGAAAGTTCATGAAAAAACATCTAGTTTTTTAAATTAAAGGCATAATTGACAAGGTGAGGGATGTATTTCCCCACCTATAGTGAAATGATTTTGTTGAGTGCATCCCCAACAATTATACCAATTCATTCTCAAGAACGCATCATCATACTGAATAAAAATTATCATGGAAGTTGTTATGATCCATATCAAATGGCTGGTAGAGAGATTCTGGATTTATGAAGATGATAAAAGTTCCGAATACACGGGACACTTTCTGGTTTTTGCGAGACAAAACAGTGAGCTCATTGATATTTCCTGTATGGTAGATACTGTCATTACGATCTCGCATCAATATGAAACAGAGTTATATCTGGTCAAACCTTTCAAATTTATAAGGTCTATTTTGTGGGCTAAAAATTTTGAGTGCATGTGATCTTACAGAGATTGGGCCAATGCAATCCCATAGAGGCATTCGTTGTTAGGTAGGACGAGAAAGATCCTACATTGTACTGACTTTACAATTTACCATCCTTCTTGATTGTAAGAGCTCACTAATTACATGCGAGACAAAAACAATCTCATCCCAATCCACAAAGCGATTCCAAAAAATTATATTCCTAGTTAAATCACAATTATTTTTCTTTATTTTTGATAAATAAATCCATGGTCTTTTTTACCATGTCTCCACCAATTCAGGAGGACTAGCCTGCAAAAACTCTTCGGACCGTGCCATGTCTGTTCCCAACTAAAATTAAACGCCGTGGGGGTGAAAAAAATAGAGGACGTAACTGATGTCGGCACATTGTTTTCACGTGCACGAAACGGATAAACATCAACGTTCTTGACGAAAGTACCCCTCTGCCCCATGTGAACAGCGCACTGACGAAAATCACTTTTATCCGCACCATCTAACAGCATATCTATGTCTCTACGTGGACGGCTCTCATGAGCCCACATTGCGTTTTCCGATTGGATCACCTCACATCACAGTCTCTACCCCACCATGATTGGTCCACGTCTCCACAGACAGCTGGCCCACTAAAGAATTATTATCAATATTTTCTGAACCCAATTATTAAATTAAGTGCTGGTTTTTGTTCAGCTTTCCAATTCTTTATATACTCCGCTCGAATAGAATAGAACAAAACAGTAAGGTGGTTACAGGTAATGTTATTATTACAATTTACAGGTCCCAATTCAGAGGTAAGAAATTGGTTAAAAAAAATCTGCACAATTTCAAACATAAAAAGGAATTAGTTTTGTCGTCCGAAAAAGTGGTCTTAGACTAGTGATAAATTAACTCTATAGCTTCCTTACATTTTTCATTAGTTTCTGTGGGGATAGCCTTTTAAGGAAGTATATTAAAATCTTCCGCGTCTTCAAAAATAAAATAAAAATAAACAAAAATAAAAAAGGAGAAAAGACAGTCGACACTTGGCGCTTCCAGCAAGCCCTAAATAAGCAAAGAAGAAGGAAACCAAGAAACGATAGTAGGACTACTCCGAAACGCAGACAAAGAAGCCACCAAGAACAAAGAGAGTGAATTCCGAAAAAAGCAACCAAAATAGAGTAGAAATACAAACACAAACACAAAATCAAGGTAGATATTCTTCATTTACTCTCTACTCTCCCTCCCTCCCTCTATCTCTCATTACTTACTCCATATACTTTTTATTTTTGTTCTTTTGGTCTTAATTATTAATAATTAGCTAGCTAGTATTGATTTCTTCCGGCTTTAAGCTTCTACTTGATCTTTGTTTTTGATAAATCAGCTTTTATTTTGCATGGTTTTGAGGTTTTCTTTTTGCTACTTCTCTTATTAAAAATATTTTCTGCTCCGTTCTTATTATTTTAGAAAAATTAGAAGTTATTATTATTATTATTTTCTTTTTTGTGCGGGCTTTGGTTGATAAATATCATCACGGGATTGGAAATGCAAGAAAGTTAGGGTTTTGAACCTTTTTTTGGATTTAGTTATCAGATTTTTTTAGCTATTTTGACACTGTTTTATCCAGATATTTTGAGAATGGGTACTAATTTCAACTTCAAGAACTTCACAAATGACCCGTCAGAAGCCGGTGGTGCCCGGCCACCGGGGAATTTGCCGTTGACCAGACAGTCATCGATCTATTCGTTAACTTTTGACGAGCTTCAAAACACTATGGGAGGATCATTAGGCAAGGATTTTGGGTCAATGAACATGGATGAGCTGTTAAAGAATATATGGACTGCAGAGGAGACACAAACCATGGTAACAGCCACCTCTACTGGGGTCCAAGAGGGTGTTGGTCTCCAGCGCCAGGGCTCGCTGACGCTCCCGCGGACGCTGAGCCAGAAGACGGTGGACGAGGTCTGGAAAGGCATGTCGAAGGAATATGTAATTAATGGGACCAGTGCTGGAATTGCTAATAATGTGCCCCAGAGGCAGCCCACTTTAGGAGAGATGACTTTGGAGGAGTTTTTAGTGAGAGCTGGGGTGGTGAGGGAGGATATTCAAGTGGATGCGAAGGTTAATACCAATGATGGATATTTTGGTGATTTATCGCGGTCGGCCAATAATAGTTTAGCAATTGGGTTTCAGCAGAATACGGGCGTGGGATTGAATAACAATAATACCAATCAGATCTCTTTGCAATCGTCGAATTTGCCTTTGAATGTTAATGGCGTTAGATCAAATCAGGCACAGGTGCAGCAGCAGCGGCAGCAACAACAAATATTTCCTAAGCAACCTAATATGGGATATGTGACGCAGATGCCTCTGCAAAGTAGTCCTGGAATTAGAGGTGGAATGTTGGGGATTGGAGATCAAGGGATCAATGGTGGTTTGATGCAGGGTGGAGGGATGGGAGTCGTTGGATTAGGAGGTGTTGCTACGGGGTCACCTGCGAACCAGCTGTCATCAGATGGAATTGGGAAGAGTAATGGGGATACGTCTTCAGTATCTCCAGTGCCTTATGTATTTAGTGGAAGTGTAAGGGGAAGGAGAGCGGGTGGTCCTGTTGAGAAGGTGGTTGAGAGGAGGCAGAGGAGAATGATTAAGAACAGAGAGTCGGCTGCGAGGTCTCGCGCTCGCAAGCAGGTGATTATCTTGTTTGATATTTCACTTATCATCTACTGGTTTATACATTTAGGTCTTGATTTTAGTTTGTCAGTTTGCTGCAGATTCAATTTCAGTATAATAGTCTGAAATCTGTTCATGCTTGAATTGAAAACTTTTCCCTAATGTAGAAGCAATTATAATATCTTTAAGATAAAATGAATGCGAGTAAGTGTGTATTATATGTGTGTTCAATGTAACAAATACCATGATTATTTGCCGTGTTTTCTCGTGCAATTGCACTAGAGTTCTTTTGCACTGCACTAAAGTAGAGGAAAACCGATAATAGGTTATTGGGCTTCTTTCACACTGCACTAAAGTTCCTAGACACTCGATAAGTGTCCATATAAACAAACTTTCTGTGCAAAAGAGAAGAAAGAAGAATGACTCTGATAATTAGGTTTTCACAACTGTAAGTTGTTTTGAAACACTCCTTGTCACTTGTTGTATGTCACCAAAACTTGCGGAAGAAAAAACAATCACAAATCTTCTTGTGGTTAATGAATTTTGCTAGCCATTAACCTTCTACTTTTATCATCCATGGCCACGCTGCATGCCAAAACATCATGAAAGATTATGGGGCAGAATGGTAATGTGATAGCGATCTGACATGACAAGAGATGAAAGTTTTTGAGAAGTCAAGGTCATGAGAAGTTATAAGGATCCAGTTTGTTACAAGGTAATGAAATTGAACCTGTATTGGGCCAAATTCAACAAACTTTAATTAAAAGTTCAACACCTTTGACTTGATACAAATCAAAACATTATATGGGAGGATATAAGTAGATATTTTTAAAAATAGAGTGTGTTACATTATTACTTTTCAGCATGAGCTCAATATGTACTCTTTTTCTCATTTTGGTTTTTACCAGGCTTATACAATGGAATTGGAAGCAGAAGTGGCAAAGTTAAAAGAGGAAAACGAAGAATTGCAGAAGAAACAGGTATCTTAGCTTTTATTGTACACACGGTATGTGTGCCTGCCATATCACTCCCACACACTCATTGTTTATTGTTTGGGTTCTGCAGGACGAAATGATGGAAATGCAAAAAAATCAGGTGCCAAATCTATCTATTTCTCTTTCCATCAAACAAAACATAACAAAAAATCTTGCCTATTTGCTCATAACATGTCTAATGGCTAGTCAATGATAACATCTATATCATTTTCTTATATGTTTGGTGTTATGGATAGTCTGCATGTATTTTCCCACTTTTTTCTTTATTATGGATGTCCAAGCCCAATATTCATAAAAGGAAGTATATATTGTGTCCATCTATGTGTGCATAATTCTACCTATAGCTTTTTCATGGTTACTTGAAGGCATTGCAAATGTAGTGCCTTCATGTTATGGACCATAAGTATCTTCACTTATTTTTCAGTAAAATTTCTTTCAAAATATTGTAAGTTAACTAAATACTTCTTAATTGTGTTACTTGCGAATGATATACTGTTATTGCAATTCAGTAAATATTATTACCTTGGAAAAAAAGGAGGATAGAATATTATTCAATGTGTTACATTATGAACTGTTGAATATTTTGTTATAATTTATCTTATCATTTTGTAGTTTAACTAATTTTACCATTATTGTGTTAGTTATAAATGATCAAGTATAATTTTGACAAAAAGAAGTACCTTGATATCTTAGTGCCTTGTAAACTCGAAGGCATTGTAATTAAAGTGCCTCCAAATAACCATTGGATATTTGCATATGATGGTCTCACAAGGTATTTTCTCCCTACTTGAACGTAATGGGAGACGTGGAATGTGCCTTCAATAAGGATTATTGGGCGCCCCACCCAGCCCCACCCCCCCCCCCCCCCCCCAGTAGGGAGGACAAATAGGGGTGATGATCAGAAGCACCATCTGCTTGCACTTTTTCTATAGAAGCTGGCACAAGTACATAGTTGAGCATCTCAGTTGGAGAAATCATTGCTTCCAACTGGGATAAAGTTTCATATGTTGCTGTTCAGCACCAGTCTCTCTCCAATTGACATTTATGATTGTGGCATAATGTGCTTTTTGACCGCAAGTATGCAAGCACTAAAGTGCTCTTGATTTTTCTCCATTTGGTGGTATAACAGGTCGTGGAGATGATGAATATGCAGCAGGGGGTAAGAAACAATGCTTGAGACGAACTCAAACAGGTCCATGGTGAATTGAAGGGTGGTTTGTGATTATACCGTTGGAAATCATGTATGGTAGGTGATTGTACATATTTAATGGAAATGTGTTTTCTGTAAATGGAGAAGATCCGAGTTTTACAGTGAGAAGATCCAGAGTTTTACAGTGATGTAGATGAAACCCTCCAATATGAACTATCTGTGTTTGCGTCTCTTCTGAACTTCTTTGATAGGTAATTAGATTGGCAAGGAAGGAAAGCAAATGCATTTTGTGCTAGTGACCATTTTATCCATGTTTACCTCGGACTCTCGGTGTTGCATTTGGTTGTTTTCCTCTCATCACACACACACACTGATGGTAATAGAATTCTGAGATATTGGCAAGTACTTGTCTCCATCATATTGTAGATGCCAAGCAAATGAAAAATTATAGTAGCATGATGAGGTAGCTCTAGACCTGATTGCATTTGGCGTTGTCGATAAAGCTCTGTATTCATCTACCCCCTGATTCTAGGGTTAGAATTACAAATGCAAAGCAACTGAGATTCGAGAACTCCTGAGGTCCAGAAAGAGAGATATTATTAATAAAAAAAAACACGCACGCACGCATGCACGCAAACTATTAGTTATTGTTTATTATACTATTTAAAATACTGTTCATCTAGATTCAAATGCATTATTTTTTTCATCATACAATGATATTTTTATATTTTTTAAATATTTGAGATATTTATTACGAAAATTTGAGGCATTATATTTTGATTTTTTTTGTAAATATTATTTTTTAGTTTGTAAAGATTTTTTATTTGATTTTCTTCTCATTTTTTTTTTGTTTCATTTTGATCATTTGGTCTTTGTTTTTTTTTTAATTAAAATTTTTTAAAGCAAAAAGATGTTTAAAAAAAATTATAAAATAAGGTTTTAGCTAAAAATATGGATAGAGATAAATAAATAATATTTTTAATAAATTTTTTTATGAAAATATAAATAATAATTAGTTAAATATAAAATTTTAATTAAAAATAATAAAATTAAAGGAATTTTATTCAATTTTGATTTGATATATTTTGATAGATTTATAATATAATATGGATGTTAAAATAAAATGATTTTTTGTATTTTATCTACGTTGCGAATAAAAAAATTAAAATAAGACTTACCATTCGTTAATACTATTTTAATTATTATTTATTGGCTTGTATGCTTTATTCATACATATTTGTGATTTTACATTTTAGTTTTTTTTTAAAAAATTCTTTAGATCCCTGAATTTTTTTTGTTTCATTTTGATCACTTTTTTTTTTCTGATTTTTTAATTAAAATTTTTAAGGTAAAAAATTTTTTTAAAAATAATTTCCAAATAATATTTTTGCTAAAAATATAGATAGGGATAAATAAATAATATTTTTTAATAAAAAAATTTATAAAAATATAAAAAATCAGTCAAATGCCAAATTTTGATTAAAAAACTAAAAATTAAATAATTTTTTATTTAATTTTGATTTAATATATTTTGATACACAATATAACACGAGACATAAAATTTATTATATCTGATTTACATCATAATACAGAAAAAAACTACATCATAACGCAGATAAAAAAACTAATTCAATCTAAAAAGCAATGCCTCAGATGGCCTTGGTGAGCATTATAATAATTCTAGTCATGGGAGTTGGAATGAAAACATAGCTTTTCAGCTAATCGCATGTTTTCACAAGACATGTTAGTTGTGAGCTTTTAAATGGAGATGAATAAACCTCAAGTTCGCCATTCCATTCTGCAACAACATTCATAATCGGAGTCATGTACAATCATTCGCAAAACTGGCCTGGTTCAGAAATGTACCTTTCACAATTTTCTTGAAGCAATGAGGTTCCACAAATATAACAAATTTGCATGTTTATATCAAGTTTATACCATGCAATTCTCGACTCTCCAGAAACTGGGAAATAACAACGTTCAGCTCCTCAGTTGGAAATCAATAATCTGCGGTCAGCACATGCAACCCCATGAAATTCCTACTTGCGGTGTGCCTAGATCGACAATGCAGTATATCATACAATAATCCCTTGCCAAAAAAATTCAATTCCGAAATTCAAGATAGTGCATGTATGGCAGATCCATCGATTTAAGTAGAATGGCACCAAAACAGTACTTTGCACAAACAATTTGCCTTCTAATAGGCAAAGGTAATATCACCTTCCTCTAATGCTTATTCCTACCACCACCTGATAGGTAACAGCAGCAGTTTCAGGTAATAAGTTCACCTGCATGCCCCAAGATTCTATTGCTAGTATGGGGTTCACCTGCATGCCCTAAGATTCTATTGCTAGTATGGGTAACCAGAGGTGCATTCCATGTCCTTCCAGGATATCATCTTCCTGCGATCCCTCCCTCTAAATGATCTAGCCAGAAGAGAAGCACTAACAGGTTTACACAAACCAACATCAACAACAGAAGTACACTTTGCACTTGGAGATGCCTCATCCATGAAATAGTCGAACAACATTGCAAGACAGCGCACTTGATGAGCTAAGACATAATTTTCTTGATCCAAAGGTAGCAGCTTTAATATATAAAGATTGACCTGCAGAACATTAAAGGGAAACATGAATTCGTAATATTTCAGCAAGGAAAATAACAAAACATGTGAAACAAACAATTCAGTATGAACACTGAACATTAAGATAATTAGGAGGCGAAAAGCGAAAATGAGAAATCGCCAGGATGCAACTCTAGGTTAACATTAATAGTGAATCAGCTGCAATTGAGTTTCAAAGTAGGACAACATTCAAATACCCTAACAACTCCAAGGTAGATGTACCATATTAAGGTGTTCTTTACACAATGCTTAACCACTAAATGTCTGCAACAATAATCTGCTAGTGGTCACAATTCTGATCTACTATAATTCTGATGTCTTACTTTATTTTCTCCTGATTTGTCTCCTAAATAAAAGCTAACTATTGCGCAAGACAATGTTTGCTTACCTCAGCTTCCATGGCACGAAGTTCATTGTACCATTCAGAGCCATTACTCTCATCTCGATTTTCTCCAGTACTGTGCAGACTCACGGCAAAAAGAGAAGGTCTAAGAGGATACTCCATGCTGATTTTAATCTGCCATAACAAAAAAAGATAAATAAATAAAAACTGACATTACATGTCAACAGCTGGTCAATGAAGGATGTGTACTAGAGACCAGAATAATTTAAGCTAACCTTTGCTTCTAACTTTACTTTCTTCTCATCAGCGTCCTTTTTCCTTATTAAGACAAGGTTATATTCTTTAGTGCCGTAACTCACCCATGACTTTTGGGTCATCTCATAGTATTTAATAGAAGCTTCATTTTCTACCTCTGGCTCAATTTGTGCAAGCTCATCCAAATCACTATCAGTATCCAACAATAGATCTGAATCTTCATCATGTTTCTTGAAACTTTGTGATTTCACCTTACTAATTGGTGATATAATGCTTTTTGAAATTAAAGCCAGCCGCCTGGAATGCTCCATTGTAGATACTTTTGAAGGAGTAAGCTTAACATCATTCACAGCAGAAATAGCTGCAATTAGAGATGGAAGCTCCCCATCTTCCCTAACACTCTCCGATCTTCCATTCACATTGACATCTATTGGTTCCTGAACTTGATTTGTATCAATGAAGGGCAAAGTTGAAGCCTGATTAGGTGGGGGCCCTGCAGGTGACCAGCCATGTAAATCGCATGAAGGCGTATGCAAAACCCATGGAACACTTTCACAATTCAGAGTAGGCCATTCAAGCTTCGTAAGCATATCAAGCTGTTCCCTGTAAACCAATCAAAGAATTCCAACTTTTCAACCCAAAGCATACCTTACCACAACGACAAACAAGACAACATGGGAGCCACAAAATGAAAACTAATACCCAAAATAAGAGGCAATAAGCACGCATCACAATTCATTCGAGGTAAAACAGATTAAAACTTCAAAAAAAATCCACATCATGAGCCACTACATTATCTTATAATAGATGCCATTGTAGTCTACTCAAACAAACAAAGATATGAAAGCTTATACTCAGATTTGATCACATTAGGTACCCATCCCCTAATCAATTGTCTAGTCTTCCCCTAATGATCCAAGACCTCAAACAGACAGATCAGTGACTCACACAAGAGCCAGCTGAGCTCTTTTACGAGAACGAATTCTTTGCACAACTGTCTGCACCCGATTCTGTTGGCGATACAATGACAATCCCGATAAAACAATCTCGTTTTTAGCTGTCTCACTGCTTGCAGTATCAAGGTCTCTGAGTAACGGGGCTGTCTCTGGTAAGAAATCAATCCCTGCCAAATGCTGGGCCCACTTATATGGACGTGAAGTTCTCCTTTCATCAAATGCAAGGGGGTCCCCTACAATGAGCTTTCCTGACTGCATTGACATCAACAACAATTATCATAATATGAAAAAATAAATGGAAAAATGAACAACAAAACTGAGAGGGGTAGTAGCAGAGAGTAAGAATAAACATCCATACTTGGTGAGGCAGCTCCGCACCAGTGTCATTGGGAAATAAGTTGCATAAGATGTTATTTTCTGGTCCTTCGAGTGACCCTTCAACCCCAACACATATAACATTCAACTTTAGCAAGTATTCAAACTTCAGAGTGACAAGCTTTGCAGATTTTGGATCAGAAACCTCATCATCAAATATGTGGAGAATAATCTTGAGTGGATGAGCTTGATACAACCCTGCCTGGTCAATGCCCTCTTTGCTCTGAACCCTCTTTGGCCTCTTTCTCCTTCTTTGACCATCATCTTCCTCATCAGGTGCATCATCCTCCAACCTTGAAGTCTCTACATTGGTAGATATACCTGGTCCGTTCAACAAACATTACTGTTTATAATTCTTTCTGACCATGTTAAATCACAAACCCAGTTTTTTTGCAAATCACTTACCACCGTCCTTATTTGCTTGCTGGCGTGCAAAGGCTTGAGCATCTTTAACACTTCCCACCACCTCCAAATCAATACATTCTCCAAAGGCTTCCTTTTGTGCCAATAACTGCGAGTAGATCACATAAAGTGGAGGCGGAAGTAACTCTGCTGAGTTATGCTGCTTTAATTTCTTAGTATGCGCAACCCCTAATTGATTCTGTACAGGCAATGAAGCTTTCTTAAGCGTTTTAAGATGCGAAGGCAAACTCGACAGGAACTTCTTCCTATTTGCAATAGCCTCCAACAAACCTTTCTTTTGCTGTTCCAGTTTCTCACGCAACTTACAAAGCTCTTTTCTCTAATCAAAAAAGGAAAACCCATAACCATCTCAAATTTCCTTAATAATACTCACAATATGTCATAAATATCAAGCCAATTTGAAAAAAATTACCTGGTGAAGCTCATAATTGAGTCTCTTAAGCATCAAATTATGCAAAGTATCGGTAGACAAATTGGAACCTTTAATATGTTGGGGTGCATCGCGAAAAAACTCATCTTCAGGTACAAGTTCAATAGCAGGATATTTAGATTTAAAATCCTTACAAGCTTTTATAGCTTTAAGATAATGACTCTTCTCATACATCAAATTATGTAACTGCAAAGTCGTGAAATCCACTGGAGCTTTTGCTTTTTCTGTCTCTGCTTTCACTTTATCTTCCTCTAGCAAAATCGACCTATTGACCTAAAAAATAATAATACAGAACACAGAAAACCCTAACCGTAAATGAATGAATGAAATTGAGAGACGTTTTGCCTTTTTATTTTTGTTTGGTTTACCTGGCGGAGATTGACGAAGTGGAGGAACATTTGAGTGATGAATTCGGGGAGCTGAGATTTGGATTTGGAATCTCTTTTAATATAGAGGATTTGGGAAACGATTTCTTCAACAGAGGATTTGGCTTCGTTCAGTGATTCGTAAGGTGATTTTTTAGAAGAGAATTGCATGTCTTCATCCATTGCTACTGCCTCCACTATCTCGCCGTCCTCCATCTCTTCTTCTTCTTCTTCTTCTTCCCTCCTTTCTTAATTGCAATACTCAATCCACTGCTGAGATTAACAGTGAAAAGAGCTTTTCTTTCTCTCGGGCGAGGGGTGTTTAAGTAAATTCGCACGTGTAAAAGTTAAATAATACGGCGCCCTTTTGTCTCATTAAAATGGGTGCAGACGTCGTCGTTTAGGCATTTGGTGCTAGCGTGGTATTAAAGCGAGGTGAGGCGAGGCTGTCCGTTGTGAGAGGGAGACCGACTGTCAACCTTGGACGAGCGGAGCGGACAGGAGAGTGTAGTTCCCGTACGCATCGCTTGATTCTTTTTTGACCTACGGTGTTCAGCGACCATATCGGATTTTGGCGAAATGAAAACTGAAGGTGTTACTGGCGGCGGCGGCGGTAGTGGTGCGATTAGAGCTCTTGGTTCTCTCTTCAAGCTCACTGAAGTCTACATATGGTTCCTCTCTCTTTTATCTGTTTGCATTCATATGCTTTGTAAACATACGTAGAGTTTGTGTGATTTTCTTATATACGACCGCTGTTTATTTAAATGTAACCTAAAAGGGTTGATGGCTCGACGGAGACACGAGAAATATCTTTGTTGCCTGAGTCCTCCGTAAGTTCCGTTGTTTTGCAAAATTAAATTTCTCTTTTGAGTCTCACAATCCTTAGGGATATAAATTTGTTTATTTGTTTCATTTTTTTTTCTTGAAACACAGAAATCATCTACAGACTTCGACGATATCAGCTCGAACATCCCAGCCTCAGCTAACGGTAAGTGTTTCACTGTTTTTGTTTTAATAAGAAAGGAAAATCTTTAATTTCGATACAGCATTTGAATAGTTTAGTTTTTGGAATTATGTGTGTTGATGAGGGATTTTTTTTTTGTTTTTTTGGTTTAGAATTTACTGAGTTGTTAGAGAATGAAGAACTGACCAAAGAGATGGATGCGTTAGGGCTTCCCATTTCCTTCCTGTCCATTAAGGAGGTAAAGTCATTTCAAGGATTTGCAGTTAAATGTAGTTGTATTTTGTCTTCAATGCATACCTATATGTTCATTTTGCTGGTTGTTACTAGTTTTCTCGTGCACTAATCTTTGCCTTCTTATAACATTTACACTCTGGCAGTCGAGGAACAAAATGAATAAAAGCAAAAGGAAAGGTGCTCGCTTGAAGCATTCTCGTACTAATAAAGAAGCCAAGGAAGAAGCATTAGAATTTACCCAAGTGAGTGGGTTGGAGATTGTATCTCCTAGGTTTAATGATGTTGCAGTAGGGATCAGTGAAACTGAGTGCCTCACTGGTGATTCAGCAAGTTCGACTGAGATTATTTCTAGTGCTGTCACAGAGAAAATCCTTGGGGGGGCATCTAACTACCTGTCTAATGCTGGCCAGGAATACGAGTCTGCAACACACTGTGATTTTATGTCCAAGTATGAAGATAATGAAGAACAAAGTTTGAGCAATCCATATTGTGCACCTCCACCAGTGTGCTTTTTAACAGATGCAGGTGCTAACCATGGTGAGAAAGAAATTGGCAGAATGTTAATGGAGTACGAGTGTCTAGAAGATTCATCTACTGCTCACCATCATGAAGAAGGTGATAAGTTTTGCAATGGTAATGGCACTGAGCATGTGGGGATTTCTGAACCTGCTGAGTTTTCTCAGAGTTCGGAAGCAGTTAGACACGGTGAAATAGACAATAATCACTACTATGGTGATTTTGGAGATTGGAGGGCGTATTGGGACTCTTTCTACATGAGATATTACTTCCACAATGTGAAAACAAACACTTCTACATGGTATCCACCCCCTGATATGGAACATCCAGCATCTGGCGATATAACTGATGAGTCAAATGAAGCAACTGCTGAATTGACTGAAATGGATGGCAGGCCTTCCTTTTCCTGTGGTTCACTAGATTATCCCGAGACATCTGAGGGACCTCCAAATGATAAGAGACATATAAATCAATCATCCAATGAAGTTCCGGCAGTGATTGGAGTAGCTACTGGCAACTCTATGCCTGGTTTAACTATGCTCCCAGCAAATGGAACTTTTGAGCATGTGGAGGAACTTCTTGGGATCAATAGAAGTTGTGATAAAGAACTTGCATTGTACTTACCATCAGATGTGCAGGAGTGTATGGACAGGTATTACGTCTTTATCTTATGTTCAATTGATTTTGGTTGACTTTTTCCTTGTTGGAGAACTGACAAGTAGCCTGTCTTGATAAACATGAAGCTGTAATTTTTGTCATGGGCATTGTAAAGTAGAACCAATAAACCAGATTGTTAGAGTGTGGACTTAATTTCTACCAGCTTGTGTTGTCCATTTGTGAATTTGCTGACATTTGGTTTTCCATGCAGCTTGATGAGTAGAGTCATGGAGGAAGTTACTGAGGATGGCAATATGTATCTAGAAATTGCTGATCCTGCAACTGATAATTTGGATATTCAGGTTGACCCCATCAGAAAACAGAAAAAGAAAAAGAAAAAAACACGAGTCCGTAAGAAATCATCAATGGATAGTGCAGGTATATTCTTTGCTCCTATTTTGGCAGTTCGTCTATTTCCATATTACTGTGTTATTTAGTTAGTCTCTGACTGATTTAAGACATGCTACTTGGAGTTGATCAGACCTAAAATAATCTTTGTTCTAATATTTGTATCACTTGTTTGAAGGGTTTTTCACTTTTGTCGGCGGTCTTGTTTGTTCTGTAAGTTGAAGTTATTACCATAATGGTCACTGATCGACTCTTGAATTTCTATATTCATGGAGATTAATTTTTTTGCACTATTTGATCCATCTTGTTTCTATGCAGTAGATAAGTAGGTTTGGGACTTTGAAAATGGCATTAAAGAGTTGGGATAGCTTGTGCTTGGACTGTATTTTTGCCAAAGTAGTTAGGATAGCTGCTGATAGAAATTATGTGCTGTTTATTACTTTCCTGTTTTCTTGATGTTGATCAAATATTGTTAAAATTTGCTTTTCTTTGTTTTGCGCAGAATGTCAAAGTGAACAGATGTTTGAAGAGTTTTCTTCCAACATTGGCAAATATTGGTGTCAAAGGTACACTTTATTCTCCAGATTTGATGATGGTATAAGAATGGATGAGGAAGGATGGTTTTCTGTTACACCAGAGCCTATAGCCAAGCATCATGCATTGCGTTGTGTTGGGGACACCGTAATTGACGGTTTCACTGGTGTTGGTGGAAATGCCATCCAATTTGCACAGAGGTGACTAGATTTTTTTACTCCATATTCTGGTTTTTCTTTTCCTGATATAGTTCCTTTTGCCTAAGCCTAAGTGGTTACTTGGTGCTGTAGAAATGCTTCAATTGGCATTTATTTTATAAAATTTCACTATGTATATGATTTTTCTATTTGCTATACTTCATTGCTCTCTTCAGATTGTTTGACAAGTCATGGGTTAATTTAAATTTTCATATCATTCAATGTTTCAGGTACAAACATGTCATTGCAATTGATATTGATCCCACAAAGATTGATTATGCATTTCATAATGCTTCCATCTACGGAGTTAATGACCAAATAGATTTTATAGAAGGGGACTTTTTTGCTTTGGCATCAAAACTGAAGGTATTGAAGCTGATTTCTTTCATATTGGCAAGTTTTGGAGTTGTAATTTGCACTGTAGGAGATCCAAAGTGATTTGACGTACTTTTTCCTTCTCTCTCTCTTTCAATAGTCAGGGCTATGATTTTTGTCATTTCCTTTCATCAGCATTGATTTTTCTGTCTTGCCTGTGTTCTCTTCATTTTGTTGAACAGGTCAAACTATTCTAGCTGTGACTATTTTGTGGTTTTGTAACCTCTGTTGCTATAATCCTCAAGTATCCACTTGTTAACTTCTATTGAGCTCATTCATCCCGTACATCTTGCATATAGAGAGATCAGTTCTTAGAAAAAATTCTGTGCATCACCATTTTAGGTTTAGTAAAGAACAATAATTGTTGTTGGGTTTTGTCTTTGATATTGAATAAATCATTGAACTCGTTTTAGCTCTGTTCTAGTCTTAATTTGTCATCTTTATTTCTCTGACTGCAGGGGGACACTGTCTTCTTGTCACCTCCTTGGGGAGGACCTGCATATTCTAAAGTAAAGACTTACGACATCAAGACCATGCTTAAGCCACGTGATGGGTAATTTTGAAATTTTTATAGTTCTTTTTGGTTTTTAGTTTTGGCTCATCTTCGATACTGGTGTCAAATCTCATCCTATGTGTACATGTGCAGATATGTTCTCTTTAACACTGCAAAGCAAATTGGTCGTAAAATTATCATGTTTCTGCCGAGAAATGTTGACCTCAACCAATTGGCAGAGTTGTGTTTTTCTTCCAGTCCTCCATGGTCACTGGAGGTAATGTTCAATTTAGTTCGTTTTGGGTGCCTTCTGCTCTCATTTTTAATCCAGTGTGTTTTGTCCATGAATAAATAATAGGTATTGGTACAAATAAAATGTGGTGCCCCTTTTCCTCTCTCCGTAGTGAGGAATTCTGTTTGGTCCTGTTTACTTTCTCTAAGAGATATGTTGATTTGTGCTGTGAAAAACTATACCATATCCTTGTTGCTAAGGGTTATTGCCAATGGTGTCCCAGGTTGAGAAGAACTTTATGAATGGCAAGTTGAAGGCAATAACTGCTTACTTCAGCAACTCGATTGAAGGACGATAGCTTAATGCACGTGCATGCAGGTGGAAGGAACTGATGTCAACGTCTTGTTGATGTTGAGCAGTTATAAAGGGGACTGTTAGCTAGCTTCGACTACCTGTACAGTTATGTAAGCTATTCTAAGCATCAATCATCTTGCTTTGGAGGTGAAAATTTAGGGAATGTAATCTTATTGTTGTTAGTAGATGTAGTAGTAGTCTGGTACAAATAAGTCAGTGTTCCCTTTTTGGAAGGCCTCTTTTTTAGTTCAAGTGTTTGGAGAGCTATTACAATTAAATTGCCAGATTATGACCTTCACTAACAGTTGCAAGGTAAAAATCTGATATTTGAAGTTTGTTTATTGCATATGGTTTCTTGGATTAATCAGCTTTGAACTTCCTCTCTTTTTTTCGGGGATTCTTTGAACTAACCTTAATTCACCTGTAGGTAAATCATTTTTGAACCTTTCTTGAATCATCTGCTGCAAGCTGGAAAAGATCTCATAGGATATACCCTTATAACCGTAGTATAACCCGTTAGAGAATTTATTATTATTATTATTATTATTATTATTTTGTGCTAATTAAAGTTGCATGGCTGTAATCCTTAACAAAACCTCTTTGTTTGAATTGTCTAAGATAGGAAAGACTTGAGTCATTAGAATTTTCAAGGGCCAACCTAGAGATGTCTGCATAATGCTGCATTTCTTGTTGGAAGAACGGTACTCCAATGTAGTTGAAAAGTGGTTGGATTTGAAGCCGTGTTTGTACACCCACTTTCCTGTGTCCGTGGAAAACGTAGACTTGTTTGTCCTGACAACCGTACTGTGTGATTGTCAATGAATGTTTCGGTAGAAAGGGAGGTTGGTATGGGCTGGTGTGGGACTAATGTCTGGGTCTATCTTTTCTTCTGCGATATTGAATGCGCAAGAAAACAGAAATTATAGTATGTCAGAATTTATAATTTCATTTTGAGGTTTGAAGTTGTTGGTGGTTGTTGTTAAGAGGGGACTTTCATTTGCACAAGTACTCTTTCAGCATCTATGACCCTATGGATTAAACTTATAACAAACAGATCAACAGAACTAATTAAAAAAGAGAGAGTCGAGATCTACGATCGACCAACATGGGCATGGTTTCCTGTCAAATCCAGATTGAATCACTGATAAAGATGACCCAACTTCAAGTTCAGTTTTTTTCTTATAATAGATAGGTAAGATATTCAAATTAATGGGGCTCAGTTTAGGCTGTTATGAACAGAATAAACCTTACAGAGGCCTTTGGTTCGTGTAGTTTTGATGAGAGAAGTGGACGTCTGATCTACCAGGCATGCCATTAGGAAGTTGATCAATTTCTTGATGTAGTGATTGGATAAAATGACACACAAACAACCTATAAATCAGAATAATTTTATCATGATAACGATTGGATATGTGGACAAGCCAACTTCCCATTCAAGTTCATTAGGGTTCAGGTGTCTAATTTCATAACAGGAGCTCGGTTCCATTGTAAAAGGAAAGCCCCGATAAGTAAACATAACCTGAATTGAAAATTGAAAAAAATTGCATAACCGAGTTGCAACTATGAGTCATGAGGGGGTTAAAAGACAGAATGATCCACTGACTAGATGGTTAAAGCTCTCAACTTACCGATGAGTCAGACCAACAACGATTGCTCTTACCGAAGCATTCACATGTCCTATTCTATTACCAAATTCATCATATATGCCGGTTTCTTTAGTTGTTACTCTGTTTCCAGCTTGTAATTTAGTAACTATCCCTGTTACTCGAATTCAGAACTTCCTATATTCTATACACATTGTGGCATTACGTACATATACGTGGCCATTTTTTTAAATAGCATAACCTGGTCTGACCGGCAAGCGTCCAGGCTGTCAAGCTGCCACCGGCTAGACATGAGGTGCGCTTCTGCTCCTCTCTCAAGCATTTAACTATTTCCCTATGATGAGTCAATTCTCTAATAAATGTTGTGGATTCTGGTTAGATTTTAGTTGATATTTTTTTGTTCTTTTGCGAAATATTTAAATGAATAATTCATGAATCGGTATTTATTTATTGTACAATCTCTTTTTTCCCTTTTGTTTTTGGCATTTACAGAAGATTCTACTCACTCCGTTAAAGTTTTTACCAGCCAAACAAGAAAGGAAATTTTGATTACCATAGTTATAAAATTGACCTTGAAGGTTTTTGTGTTAAGAAAAAAACAATAACGTGTCGTTTGATTCTCAGGAATGAAAGGTCTTAAATGAAAATATAAGAATCCGAATAAAAATTAAAAAATTGAAATAACATTTGTATTCCTATATTGTGTTTGGAATACTAATAAAGAATCGAAATACAATTTAAAATTTTAATATCTAATTTTTTATATAAATAAAAATAATGATTAAAAAAATAATTTTATCAAAAACTATAATAGTTGTAAAAATAATAAAGATGATGATAGTGGCGGTGATTATTGCGGTGGTGGTTATGATAATGGTGGTTTTAGCGACAATGATGGTGGTTATAATGATAGTGCTTGTGGTAGTTGCGGTGGTAGTGCTTATGGTTGTTGCGGTAATAATGGTGCTTGTGATGGTGATAAAAATAGCTAATAAGTAATAAATAAATAAAATATATTATTATTTTGAAAAAAGAATTTTATTCCCATTTCTTATTTTTATTATCATATCTTATTTGGCAATTAAGTTGTTTATAAATTTTTATTCTTATTCCTATTCTTCATTCTCATTCTTTTTAATCAAACATCTATAACGTGAGAATAAAACTTCAATTCTCATTCCTACTATTCTATTCCGGATTATCAAACGACACCCAAGGAGATTGAAAAATATTGATTTGAATGAAAAGAATTATGGGTACTTAAACAAATGATTTCGGATTGAATCTTTGGATAGCTGTATCTATTTTGTACAATTCGATTGAACAACTAGGAATTAGTCTAAGTTTCTTAAGAATGAGATGCTTGAAAAAAAAAAAAAACAGCAAGGAGACCGAAAAGAATAAAAATAAAAGGGGTAAGAAAGGGCAGCCCTGGTTAGATGATCACATGCGCGTGGCTTCCTCTATAAAATTATGTTTACTTCACGAGATATATTTTTGCAGTCAATCCAAGAGGTGGCCAGACCAGAGACCAAGTAGCCAAATCTTGACCACGCTCCGCGGCACTTATAATGGGATCACAGACTGTTAGTGCTGTTTCCTCAGGAAAAGTAAACAATTGAACATTGGAAGGAAAAACAAGCTTCCTGGGCTTAAACTACGACTACTATTATATTCAACCCCACCAAAACATGATAGGGTTTTGGTAAAATGTTTCTTTTGCATCTATTCCTCTTTCGATTGCGCATAAAAAGACTAAGAAGTCCTTCTATTCTTTTAATTTCTACGGGAAGTGCTAGTTATTCACCAAAATAATAATAATAACTGGAGATTGTAACTGATGATGAAGGTTTAGATATATTCTCATTAATGGCCTGGTGATTAAAGACTGTGGGAAAAAAATTAAAATCTTCAAACGCAATACTTTATTCTATTGATTCAAAAACCAACACAATATAATATTAGTGTTATTTTTAATCACTACATCACACGCTTAAACAACCAAACTCTTATATTTATAAAAAACTTCAATAACAAGTTACATCAATTGGTAAATTAAGAAGGATTTGTAAAAAGTCTTATGTTAGGTAGAAAACCAACACGCTTAAGGAAAGACTATGCTCTAATGTTTATATAAACTCCAATAAAAAATATTACGTTAGTTAGTAAAACAATTTTAACAAGAATTTGTAAACTCTAAGTTTCTATAACCACCAAAATGCAACTACAAGCATGAGTGGTTCCATGCAATATTATTAATAATTTGTTTTTCTCTTTTTGTTCTAAATATCTAATGGCCAAAAAAAAAAAAAAAATCAATTTTTCTCCTAAATCGATGATATCCCAAATATTGCATTCCTTCATATATTTTTCTCCTTGCAAGCTCTAATTTTTATTATGGTCAAAACTTAACTTCTCAAAATTATTTTCTATCTTTAATGTTTAAAAAGCAAAAAAGAAAACTTTATTTATCTACCTTTGACAAAACTTCACCAATTTTTTCTCTCCTCCTAATTTTGATGTCGTTGTTGGGATCCAAATTTATAACCTGCTAACACACTAATTTGTTATTTAAATGCTTTAGCGCTCAATTGGTTTGACCGAGTTGCACCAAATATTGCATTCCTTCATGTATTTTTTGGGGTTTTTCTTTTATTTTCTTTTCTCCACAACATTGTGGCATCAATTTCACAATCCCACATCCAACACCAAGACCAACTTCAAAGCTCTAATACCATTTGTTTTACTTGACCAAAGTTCTGCTACTAGATGTAAGGGGAAAAAAAGTTAAAAAAAATCGAACACAATACTTCATTTTATCATTTAAAAAATCAAGATTAATAATGGACATAATAATTTATTTAAAACCCTCAAATCCGATTGACTGATACTCAGCCAACATACACATTACAAGTGTTATTTTAATCAGTAGACACTTTTTTTTTAAAAAAATACCAATCTCCCATATCTATAAAAGCTCCAATAACAAGTTTTATATTAATTAATAAACCAACTTTAACAAGAATTTTGTAACAAGTTCTATGAGAAGTAGAAAACCAACAGCTACTAGGAGATTAAATCCTTAGGACACAAGGATTAAAGACTAATGTCAATTTATTTTAACTCAAACAAAGATATTTGCTTTATTTCTTGATTTTTTCGGGTTCAAATATTGAGACAGTATCCAAAAAATTTTGTTAAATTTTTTTTTTAATGTAGACAATCTTTAATTAGAGATGCATTTTTAAATTGTTAGAAAATAAATTTAATTTCAATTAATATGCAAACAAGTTATATGATTTCTGAAAAAAAAAAAAAGGTTAATTTGTTTACTTATTAAGCAGAAACTATGCCTATAAATAAACGACTTATGTATAAAAAGGAATGGCCTGTAAAATGATGTCGACCTTTATTCAAATAATCTCCCATATGTTTATTGATCTAATTTATGGCGCGTTGAGACTCATGTATAAAAAGGAATGGCCCGCTAATATTCCACGTTTATTTGCTTTCGTGTCCATGTAAAAGGTAGATATATTTATTTATTTATTATAATTCCATTTTGTTTTTCTACGTACCTGTCACTCTATCCTGCTTGCCGAATCACGTACCTTTAACGGTAAAAATTTTACGTAACAGGAACAAACAGAAAATGTCGTCTCTTACATTTTGTCCTCAGCTGGAAGGTATATGGTCGACTTCATGCTTTCGTTCAAAAGAACAGGTGACCGAAAGTTATTGTTGACCCGCACGAATTGAATAGAACGAGCAATCTCTAGAAAATAATCCAATGGTCCCACTGTCATTTCACTCCCAGCGAGTCAAATTCACAGTCAAGGTAATGATGGTGGCGAAGACCCATAAACCACAACATTAAAAGGAGCAAAAAAAAAAAAACCACACTAACAGTACACATCTACCCGATTAACAGAAACAAAATCATGTCCAATCATAATTAAAATCCCCCTAAAAAACCTAAAATTAGCCGAAACTATTGTCTCTTTCTCTGTTCTTTTTGCCTCTTAAAATCACTTTTTTAAAAAGAAAATAATCATACCCATCCGCACTAAAAACAAACTGATTATGACATTAAAAAAAAAACCCTCCTTTTTTAATACCAGCAATGGAGTGCGTACACAACACACATGCCATTAGAAGCGAAATCTCACTCTCTCCTTCCCTCTTTCTCCTGACTAGAATGTGAAGAGGCTAAGAGAAGAAATAATAAGCAAAGCAAAAATTCAAGAATGTCGGAGCTGGTGTACCAAGACCATAGCTCGTCAAGATCAGGATTTAGAGCCCGGGATGCAAGTCCTGACTCAGTAATTTTCACTCTAGAATCCAACTTCAGTCTCTTCTCTTCTGCTTCTGCTAGTGTCGATCGCTGCTCTTTTGCTTCGGATGCTCATGATCATGAATCTCTCGCCTCTGAAATCTCTCTGGTAAAAAAGTCTTTTCAACTAACTTGCATGCGTTTTTCTAACTGATGGTTTTTGAGATTTAGCTTCGCTAAAATCAAGTGTGTTTTTTGAGTGTGCAATGCAGCATTTGGCAGGGCATGATGAAGAAGAGAGCTGTTCGAGTGGTCCAGATAGAAATCTAGATCCAAACAAATTGAATACAGTACAGATCAACAAGAAGCAGCAACACACTCACACTCACACTCGTCTCTACAGAAAAGCGGAGAAAGCGAAAGGTACGAACAGCTAAGCCAGCCAGCCAGCCATTATTATTATTATTATTTTCTAGTGCAAGATTTTTCCGCAAAGCAAACAAATAAAGACAGAAAATACAAAAATTTGAAATCCACCACTCTCTCACTGCTTCCTTCACAATTATAAAGCAGCTCAAAAAGAAGACAACAAAACTAGTGCTATAGAAGACGATAGTCATCTCCTAGATTCAGCAAGAAGCTCCTTCTCTCTCGCTCTCAAAGGTATACAAATTGAATGCACAATCCAAATCAAATTATACAATTTCTCCATTTAACGAGTTTAATTGTTTTTTTAATGCAGAGTGTCAGGAAAGGAGATCTAGATCTGAAGCAATTACAAAGAAACCGGATAGGCGGAGACCTGCATCACTAGATCTTAACAATGTGGTTACATCTTCTTCGCCGCGATTGGATAACATGAAGAAGAGTGCAGTTTATTCATCTCGAAAATCCGGTACATTTCCGAGCCCGGGAACTCCAAATTATCATCAATATCATTCTAGTTTTGGAATGCAAAAAGGTTGGAGTTCCGAGCGAGTGCCGTTGCCAAATCATACTAACAGGCGGCAAGTAATGAATTCTACTGGGGCTGCTGTTTTGCCTTATAATAATAGTGGAAGGACATTGCCGTCGAAATGGGAGGATGCCGAGAGGTGGATATTTAGTCCTGTTTCGGGGGATGGGGTTGTCAGGAGTTCGATTCAGACTGCTCAAAGGAGGCCCAAGTCAAAGAGTGGACCGCTTGGACCACCTGGGGTTGCGTATCATTCCTTGCATTCGCCTGCGATGCAGGTGTTTGATGGAGGGAATGTGGGGAATTTTATAGCTGGTTCTCCGTTTTCGGCTGGTGTTATTGCTGCTGATGGGTTGGCGATTAGGTCAAATGGTAGCCATGTTATGGCATTTCCTATGCGGACAGACCCTTGCATGGCTCGTTCGGTTAGTGTGCACGGTTGCTCTGAGACGGTAGCTCAGTCTTCCTTGCCATCTCAAGGTACTAGTCTGTAAACTTCAGCCTGGTTTCTTGGATTTGATTTTAAAGTTTTTCCTTCCTTCAATTTTTAATTTCTGTTTTGGAGTATTGAATTAAGCTGTATCTATAGAACTTAGTCAGGTTGTTGAAACTATAACGAATTGTTAAACAAAGAATTAGACAGTGCAAATCGCATTCGTGGCTTGATTCGAATTGATGGGTTTGGTTGAGATTGATAGTCACGAGACCAATTTTATGAAAAATTACTAAGTTTCATTTTGAATGTAGTTGCTGGTATTGCTTTAAACTGTTCGCAAAACCAAATAGATTTACTATTATAGTTATTCAGAAAATGCCTGATATGTGCCTCTCACTGGAATCGTTTTTAGAATCTCTTTAAAGAATCCAATTTTAAAGGCAAGCATCCTTTAACAACAGGCTTGCGTGGGCCATTTAATTATTTTGTTCTTGGTACTTGAAAGGAAGTTGAAATGGTCTCTCTGAATAACTCAGCTTGATAACAAAATATAAATATGGGAACAATGCTGTCATATGGATATATATTTGATTTTTTTCTTCAATCGTTGATCATTTCTTAGTTTGCATATCTAATTTTCAATGTCACGGTTGATTAAACATACAGATCAAAAGCTTGACGGTGTCAAGGATGCAGCAACTGATATATCTCGTGCTGTTTCAAGAAGGGACATGGCCACCCAAATGAGCCCTGAAGGTAGCAATCATTCATCTCCCACCAGGAGGCCATCATTCTCTGCCTCCACTCCATCTGCTCTACCTATTGTGGAACTGCAGGGTGTCAATTCTTCTAAATCTGAGGTCAGGGATGTACAGGTGGATGAAAGGGTTACTGTCACAAGGTGGTCTAAGAAACACCGAGCCCGCAACCATGGAAAAACTTCAGAAATTGTTGATGACTGGAGAAAGAAAGCTGTTGATACTCTGTCATCTGGTTGGGATGTTTCAGAGGCTGGAAAGAGCATTTCAAAGTAAGTTTTCAAGTGAATTTTCGCAATCCTTTAGTTTTATATGGTTAGATCATGAGTTTGTTGTGAATGTAATGCAATTGAGTACTGAAGCTAAGGCTCTACTAGGATAATTACGAAGGATTAAATTACAATCAAACCCCAGATCCTTTGAATCGAAACCATATTTTCCTTGATGGATAAATAGAACTTCTGTCCTTTTTTTTTTAAAGGGTCAAAAGAGAGGAAGCCAAAATCACAGCATGGGAGAACCTGCAGAAGGCAAAAGCTGAGGCAGCAATAAGGAAACTTGAGGTTCTTTTCTTCCCGTATTTTGTCGTACAATTTTGAATAATTTAAAGGATTAATTCACTGAAGGCTAAATCGTAAAATAACCTCTGAACTTGAGCGAAAAAGTAAATACCCTCCTGAACTTAAAATCCCTGATTTTGCCCCCTAAACAATATGATTTTTTCAATTTGTCCCTTCTCTTACGATTTCATTGAAAATTTGACGTAAAATTCCTTAAAAATCCTCTCAATTTGCTCTCTTTTCTCTATTAGTATAAATGCTTTCCTATTTTGGTAGAGAAAATGATAGGAATTGGGAGGATTTTTATGGGTTTTTCCTTCAATTTCTCAATGAAACCCTATCGGAAGGGGCAAATTCAAAATCATATTGTTTAGTAGGAAAAATCAAGGATTTTTTAGTTTAGGGGTTATTTGGTTTTTAGCTCCAGTTCAGGGGTACTTTATAATTTAGACTTCACTTACTGTTCAGCCTTGGTGCAATAGAGAAGATATTTTCTCTAATATTTCTGCTCTGTGCATTTGAAAGCTTTGCCACTACTTGACAAGATATTGGTGTGAGATAGAATATTAGAAAGTAACTACCTTGGTTAATTGCAGGACATATATCAGCACAGTAGAATATTGTGCTAGGATGTCTGAAAATGAGAATCTTAACTGCATAGACTGTACATCATTGCAGTTTGATAACCGGGAAGGGCCATAACACTGATACAAACATAATGGGTTCTAAGTTTGGGGGTTTTGATGAACAAGATCTCCATGTTGGATTGATAACCATATAAGAGTGCCTGGGTATTTGATTAACAGAGCAATGAACTTTTTATCTGGATTCTAAACTCTTTATTCCTCAAAACCGATCAGTTTTATCAGGTCTCAATCTACTCAATATAATGGTGTACCATGAGAAATACAAAGAGAAATCTTTGGTTGGCCGTAGAGATTCAAGATTGTTTGGTTCCATTTTTAGCCACTCACATTTGTTTCTATGTTTTGTAAATTTATAGGCTTGTGCATTCTGTGGCCTTAACTGACTCAACTCATTTCAGATGAAACTTGAGAAAAAGAGATCATCATCTATGGATAGAATTATGAATAAGCTGAGGTCAGCTCAAAAGAGAGCCCAGGAAATGAGGAGCTCGGTACTAGCAAACCAAGCACATCAAGTTTCCACAAACTCTCACAAAGCTGTATCATTCCGCATAACCCGTCAGAAGGGTCCCCTGAGTGGTTGTTTCACATGCCATGCTTTCTAATATCTCATCCAGCCATATGTTTCTACACTTTGATTGACGTAACATCTGGTAATTCTTGGAAACTATCTATTGTATCAGATTTTTTTTACCTTTCTCCCTTACTCATGCAAAATTTGGTTTATTTTGAAAGGTTTTACCAACAAGCCCTGCCATACCAGCTGTCTCTCTGAGTCTGAAGAGCTTTGCTACTTTTGGTCAAATACTGAAAAAATCAGTTTATGTTAACATAAGTGTTTCCACTGTTTAATTTACCCATATAGATTGTTCACATATACGAAGGAAGATATCACGGCTACTGGTGTTCTTCAGTTTAAAAGGCCACTCTTGGTTTTTTTGGGCAGTGATATGTAGTTCATGTCTCATATAAAACACGTTTGGACATCCCATGAAATGCAATGGTTTGTTTTGTTTTTATAGCATTTCAAGGTATATCCTTTCCTTAAAATTACCTTGCTGAAAAGTTAGGGCTTGCATAAAACATTTTGCTGTTTCTAAAAGGCGAATTTGTATTTAAAGAATACTAAGTCTTTCAAAACCTTATAATCCTGGAGGCAATTATTTTGAAACTTATTGAAGGTGTATTGTTCCCTGTCCAGTTCAAAGCGGAGGAAAACTGCAGCAGAATATGGAAGTGTATAGGAGGATAGACTGTATTGACACTATTTTGGTGTCAATGGAGTTAAGTTGGGGCATTAAGAACAAGCTCTACTATTAAGATTTCAGATATGGGATGCAAGACCCTGGACGTGACATTCCCTGGTATCAGAATCTCCAGGAAATTTGACCGATAAACCTTGTTTGCATGTATGTATGTATATCAACAATTACTATTACTACAATTATTTTTTGTCATATGATTACATTTTGCCTTGCAAATTGAAATATCATTTGCCTCATGAATCTTCGTTCTTTTTCTAAATTCCTTGGCTATGATAACTTTACACGCTTAAACAGTGTTTGCCGATGGTTCAATTTCTGCAATTTCTATTCGATATGTTGTTTTTCACCTATACATTTTAAGTATTTCCTTGAAGCAAGCAGACGTGCTAGAATGAGACAAAGTGAAAAAAATATTCTCATTATAAGAATAGGCGCAAAAAGTCTAGCTTCATTCCCTGAGAATAATTTTCCAAAACTTGGAACTTCTCTTTGAAAACTGAGAGATGGAATACTGTATTTTTTTTAACTTTTCCCCATTGATGATACAGGATCTGTCGTAGATAATCGAACTTTTATTGTTGAAAGTAATCTTTCATACATGAAGATTACATCTAACTTATTTTATCATATTGGTCTACTTTCAGGTCTCATAAGTTATTGACATCATGAATGCAACAACTCAAAGATGAGAAAACTTAAACCGAGGATATTATGTTGAAGTTTTTTGCTGAGAGTCCTCAAGCTGGACTATGATTAGAACCCCAACTGGATAGGATTAGTATAATCTTGGAATCACCAACCCTATCACCCTTACCAGTGTCACGAACCAACTTTCTCTGTAGTCTGGATCCTTAGCGCAGGGAAATATAAAACGTCTAATCATCTCCCAAACATCATCCAAGAATTTGGGCACGACCAATAACCCAAAAGAATTTTTTTTCGGGTCTTCTGGCCTTACCTGTGTCCCCATCACCATTCATAATGCATTAGTTGCTCATTAGCATAACACTTGGTTAAATTATTTGTAAGCAAGAGAGATGGAACACTGACCTTCTCTTCATAGCAGCTAGTGAAGTAATTGGATTCCCAAAAATGCTTGTAAGAGAAAATTTCGTCATCAAAAGGCAATCTAGGAACCATATAATTGCAATAGAGGCATCTCAGGTATTTTACGTTAATCCCTTCTCAACTCATCATTATATATTCCCCAAATTGCGCGTCCCCAACCCTAGGCTGCCCAACTGTGTAAACCCTACGAACAATATGGCTAATGCCCCACCCAAACTGTGCCCTGTCGTTATGAATTTTGCTGTCTCGGTTTTTGGACAGTATGTCCCTCAGCATCTGTCTGATTTCATAGTACGTATACAATTGATCTTGTTCTATAATTTCTTTAGGCCAGCCATTGTTTTGCAGGCCCAGGCCTCTTATAAATCACGGTGGATCTGACAATGGCTTCAAACTTATACCAAAAAATATCCATGGCCCATATATACGCATCAAATGGTTCGGTCCCTCTAAATGGCAAGACAATTAGGTTAGGGTCAACCTTAATATCTTGGAGCATGAAGACATGAGTTGAAGCCTGGTTCTGGTGATCTGTGAAGCATCACAATTTAAAAATGTTCACATCTTCTTTGTTTTCCAATTGGAAAATTTGGATTAAGCTTTTATTTATTTAGGGTTAGTGATGCTAAAATAATGGTGCTGCAATAAATGAGAATCAACCTAATAATTTGTTCTAACAACATCCAACTTATGGCACAGTAGCAACTAGCAACTTTCTCAAAATAATAATAATAAAAGAAAAAACAAGAAGTAAAATAGTATAGAGCAACTTAAAGAAACAAAAAAAATTTAGAATCCTAAATGAAAAGAGGAAATGAGATGGCGTATTTAATTTTATTTCTCACAAAAATAAAAGGAAGAGAAAAACATTGATTGGTCAGCAAAAAGCTTAATTTGGAGTATAAACTAGTGTTATTTTATCTGTTTTCTTTTCCTTTTTTTTCCCCCTTCTTTCACAAAAGAAAGCTTTGGAGAATCTTACCCAAATTTATACCAACTTTTTTATGAGCATATTATCAAAATTTCTTGTTTATATTTGTTTAATGTGATTTTTTTTTTTAAAATGAGGTTGTAATCCTCACATTTTGATTGTTGATAGGGAGTCTTCTAACTCAGATTGATCGTAAAAATCCTCTTTTAATGGATGGAAGATCCTTCCATGTTTAATATAGCATGCGAAGAAAGGTATATTGCATGAGTAGACAATAAAAGATTAATTCTTGCAAGTACATAGATGATAATAAATAATAAAAGTATTTTTGAATTTAGAAAGCAGAACTTATAACTTTTTACTTATTAGTATTTATATAGGAAAATATGTAATCAACTTGTATTGATTGAGGGTAGGATGGTTTTTTCCCTTCACTCAACAATTCCTAATATCCACTTTAGGGTTTGGTATTTTTTCTACGATGGTTGTTGTTTGACGATGCTTATGCAAGTAAATTAGTGATGATATGATTGGAGTAGTTCAGAAAACCATGTCTTAATTAAATATATATATATATATATTTTTTATCTATCAAGTATGTAAAAAAACATTTTCTTTATTTGGATTTTCCATCTATATTGAATTTACAAGCTTTGTCCAGTCTTGGTGGCTACTAAAGATTGGTCGGGATTGTTTCATTCAAAATAAGTTATTGACCGAGTGGTTTTTAAGTGGAAAATAACAACACATTATTACGATATTGTAAATACATCAATTTTCATGCATGTTATATTGTTTATCTCGAATTGTCGAATTTATTTATCAAAAGATTTAGCAGGCAGTACTTTTTAAGTTGCTTGATTACGAATGAATATATATCCAACTTAATTACGAATGAATATATATATCATAAAAGAAAAAAATTCTACATTTTTGGTAGATCAACTAACGAAAATGTTGTGCATCAATTGAAAACTTGACTTGTCGAAGGTGCTTTCGTGTCATTTGCGAGTTTTTTTTTCAAACGAGAAGAAAAAAAAGAAAAATAGTACTATATTCTTTTAAAAAATAAGGATTTTTAATTTCCTACCAAACTATAATATTTGAATGTTATAATAATTTATTATAAACCCAAACTGATGACAATCACGGTATTGGATTAAGAACAAAAGAGAAAAAAAAACAGTTAAAATAAGATAATGCAGAAACAACATTTTTTTTTTAGAATCTTTTGTTTTACGGATGGAAAACATTTTTTTGTAAATAAATTATTTTTTATTTTTTTGATGTTTTAAGAAAAAAAATTTATTTTTTATTGATAGTTTTAAGAAATCATAGTAAGATGAGAAAAATCATGTTGTTATTGTCAAGAAAAACAACTACTTCCTTTAAAACGTTAGATAGAAGGCAACAACCTTGGTTGTCACTTGGGTAAAAAAATTTCTAGAAATGAAATTTGACAATAAAACCTAATTGTATTCATGTAATATAAAACAATTACATTTTTGTTGTCATAAAACTGAAACACGATTTCTACTTGATGCCACGTGGGAGTAAATTATAAATTAATTTCCATGTGTGTGTATTTATATATAGTTTTTCACAGAAATATTTAAATAGTTTCTCTAGTTTTAATAATTAATTAATATATTTGTAAATTTATTAGTAACTTAATCATTTTTATTTTTTTATTTTGATAAATATAGAATTAAAAAAATATAAAAAGGATTGATGAGAAAAGAAGAAATTTTTAGAACAAAATAATGTTAAATTAATCATGATTAATGCTATGCAAAGGATTAAAAAATAGTTTTTAAAGTAAGATAGATTATTTAATTCATTTTGCAAAACTAGAAGGACTAATTTATAATGTACTCTGTCATTTGGTTATCTTTTATTAATATTCTGCTGTTAAAAAATAATGTTGCTAGAATGAGTATGAAAGTGATACGTACGTCACTGAAGCATTTGCATTGTAGAAGAGACTACTTAATTAACAAGGCATGCACGACAACTTAGCATTTCAGCTCCTTTCCAAGAGAGACTAAAGAGGAACAAAAGTTTACCTTATTTGAAAACTTAATGGAGGATCACATTAATGGATACAAGGAGACATAAGAATAAGTACACCTGGGAACGAAGTCCATCCATTAATTGCTGTTAAAGAGTTCGTTCGCTTCTGGAAATGGTATTGAGCAACTAATTAAACCACTGCTCTTAATTAGGCATTATGGATTGCTTTCACTCTTGGTGAAGTTGTTGTTGATAATTCTGAAGCTGAAGGGATAACGAAGATAAGGAAGATTCCAATCGAGTAGAATTATCATAATCTTGAGGAGCATGTGCTGATAATCCTGGAATTATCAATCCTGCAATCCGTATCAGTCTCGTAATCCAATTTTCTTTATAGTCTTGACCTTCGAAATAAGGGATTATAAAACCTCTAATCAACTCCCAAACAGCATTCAAATACTTGGGGACAACCCAGAACAAAGAAAAGTAGTTCTTGTTCGGCTCTTCTTGCATCACCTATAATCCCAAATATCATTCAGGAATGAGTTAGTGACCTATCAACAATCTTACTGAATTATGCGTGCATGCATGCTGGTACATGATTAGGCCCAGAAAATCATTTGCTTGGAGTTTATAAAGTAGAAATTTGTCTTAGAGAGCACTGACCTTTCCTTTATAGCAGCTATTGTAGAAGAGGCAGCCACCAAAATGCTTGAATAGAAGAGATTTGTAATCATAGGGCAATCTAGGCACCATGTCGTTGCAATAGACGTACCTCAGGTATCTCACATCATACCTTTTCAACTTATCCACCATAAATTCCCCAAACTGCCCATCTCCTACTCGAGGCTGCCCAAATGTGTAAACCCCTTCCAATCTCTCAAGCAACCAAGCCTCCTGGTGTAATGCCAACACACCCACAAACAATATAGCCAATGCCGCACCTAAGCTGTGCCCTGTTAATATAAATTTTGCTTTCTCGTTCTTCTGCAATACGTCCCTTAGCATTCGTCTAATTTCATAGTATGCATAAAGATGGTCACTGCCATGTTCAATTTCTTTAGGCCAGCCATTCTTTTGTTGGCCCAGAGCTTTCATAAAGCCACGGTGGATCTTACCAATGCCTTGAAGCTCATACCACGAGAGATCCACATCTGTGCTCCAGTCGTAAGCTTCAAATGGGTTGGTTCCTCTGAATGCCACCACAATTAAGCTTGGGTCAACCTTCGTATCTTGGAAAATGAATGCTTGCGTCGAGGCCCGTTTCTGGTACTCTGTGCGCCATCCAAACCAAATTTTCAAATAAATATGCCTTTTATTTTTTGCCTTGCACTTTTATTTAATCCCTAAATGTTTAAAATTAAAAATGCTTTTGAAAAGGGGCAATTTGAGCATTCAAAGAATTAACATGCAACTCCAATCAAGGGATTAACTTATGATTTTTAAAATTATAACTACCTACTTATAAAATTATGTAAAAAAAAAATTAAATTGTAATTTTAGCTTTAAATTTTTTTAAAAAGGGACCAATTTCAACATAAATAAATAAGGGTAGATTATTTAAGGCTTCTATCAAGTTTCCCTAAAAACTACAATTTCTCTTACATCCTTCAAACGGTTATTATATTGCAAAAGCTAAAAGATCATGCTAAAACACTAAACAAATTATATTATGCCTCACATGTTAATTTCAAGTGAATCTTAGAGGTGTAAATTAAAATGAAATTATAGTTTAGGAGGAAAATTGACAGAACCCCAAAATCTATGGGAGGATGTTTTGTAATTTGTAGTTTACCTAATCAAAAAAAAAAAAAGGAAGGAAGGAAGGAGGGAAGGAGTGCTGCACCAGTTTGCATTAATTAATTTCCTTGTGTATCTCGCTGCCTACATCACCTTGACCTCGTGTTTTATTTTATTTTATTTTAGCATACCTTAACCTCGTTTTGTATCAAATTAATTTCTTGTGCTTCAAGTTCAAGGAAGCTTTGGATTTTACAGCATGTTTACCTGCTTTGTGTAACTGTGTTTCTATTCTCTTGTACAAGTAACGCTTAAATTCTCAACGTTGCTGAAATTTATTATTATTTTTTTATGAATCATGAGATAATGAGATTTCATTAAAAATAAGCTCCCTGATCAATAGGAGGAGGCCAGCAAACAAAGGTTATGTTACTAGTGGGGAAAAAAAAAAACAAACACAACCTATTATGCAGAATAAAGCAATAAAATAAGCCAAAAGATGATGCTTGAACTTAAATCAGAAATTACAAATTGACATCAATGTTGCTGAAATTTATATCGTCTATAAATCAAATCAAGAAAGATCAGCTTTTTTAAATTTCAACTTATTATGTACATTTATGGAAGAAACTGACTTTATATTTCCCTTAAAATAATGGTTAGGTAAGAGTTACTCACAGAGAGATAGTGGTGGTTAAATTTGAGATTTCTAGTTGACAAAATTGCAAGGTTCCTTCTTGACGTATTGGCTTCACTGGCTTTGTGCCTTGGTTTTTAAGTGGTTAGTTTTTTGTGTTGTTTTCGGAGTTCTAGGTGCACCTTTCTAGTTCTTAGTGTTATTTTTAGGGATAATAGCTAGGTGCTAGTTCCTGATTTGGTTTATTAGTCCGGATTTCTATTATTCTCCTGCCTCCTGCAACTTTTTGGTTGTTCAGGAGTATTGATGAAAGTCAAAAAGAAGAAGAAGAAGAAGAAGAAGAAAAGTTGAGATACCTCAAATTCAAGTGTGAGTGGAGGAGGGATATATGGCACAATAAAAGGCCTTGCATTTGACTTAATATAGAATGATAATCAAATTAAATAGATACTATGCTGTGATCAACATGTTTATCAATCACTATACTGCCAGCTTCTTTCTTGTTAATTTAAGTAACTACAATTCTAGCTAAAGACACGTATGCATTTTCATATAGTGTTTGTCTTTCCGAGAAAATGACCTTGGTCAAACACTAATTTTTTAATTGAAACTTCAAAATATAATTAGGTTTTGCTTCTTACCGTTCCAGAAGTCGTAGAAACCCAAAAATTCCATCTGCACAAAAATGAAAAGAAAAAACAAAAACGACTACCGTTAGTTCTCATGGATGTCTATTAAATTTGTGAAATATTTTCATTAATCTCTCTTCTTTTTTTTTTTTCCAGCTACCTAGCAGTATTTCTCGACCGACTTTCCCACACCTAAACTACTTCTGCATCTTGTAATTGAAGGATATGTCTCGATTGAAAGTATCAAGTGTGAGCGCATAAAAAGACATACTCATAAAATAATCAGGGTAATGGAACAAATTTTGGGCTCTACATAGTTTGTTTTTCTGGAACTCGATCCCATGCATGTTAATTGTTAGAACCAAAAACAAAAGGTGTTTTCACGTGATGTTAGTACTGATACTTACATTCCAATGATTTTTGACAACGGCTTCGATGAAAGCTTTATTTTCGTATGACAATTTAGCGGCCATCAAAGACAAGGATGCATTATATTTTATTTGCCCAGGTCTGCTACTCCTGTCTAGTTCTAATCTCCAGTCAACATGTCCTATCACAGATCTGAACTCTGCTGATGATTCATCCGGCCTCACAACCTTCCCTGCATAAGTATAAATATCCATTCTTAATTAGCTATTAATTAGAACCCCCAAATTATGCATTACAGGGTTAATCATAACTGCATGCACTCATGCAAGGACATATATAGATTGGATCACAAAGATACCAAAAACGTACGTAAGGTCAACGCCTGACTTATGTTCTATTCTTCACTAATTTTATGAAAAATAAAAATCAAAAAAATTAAGAAGCTGCACATACCCCTCAAATAATTCAACAAGAGCTTGAAAAAGCCACCGTTGTTTGAGAGAAGATTTAACGAAGTCTCTAAAGCGTTCCCTATTTGAGCCAAGGGCTTCCTGCAAGAAAGAAGGATTTTTTGCAGGAGAACCGAAATGAAAATGAGCCATCGGCGATTAAAATCTCCTCGCCGATGCTCATCGGAGTAGTCAACGAATCTTCTAAATTTTAAATCAGAGGAGAATAGGAGGAGAGCGAGGTCGCGCAAACTAGCCTCCTTTGGCTCAAGCAACAACTTATTTTGACAGAAATATTCATCATTGCAATTGGCCATGACTTGGAAGCAAAGAAGAAGTGATTATGTGAATGTCTGATGCAGAATTAGCAAAATGCTTCTATATTTATATTTTGGAGAAACTGAGCTTCGTCCTTCAACTATATACGTGAATTCAGTCAAGGTCTCGGAGTTCAAAATTAATCATTTGTTATCGTAAAACTACCACATATTACTCGATGTTGTGCCATATTAATTTACATCCATCAAAAGAATTCAGTACTAGAATTCATGATTAATCTTGTGTGTTTCTCGCACATGCGCAACATCAGTACAACTTTTTGATTCCATAATCTTAATAACATCATGCTGTAACAAATTAAATAAAAACATTTTATGAAAAATAAAAATAACAATATTTTGTTGAAAAAATGACTAAAGTCATTAGTATGGATTTTCATTTTCTTTTACTTGCAACTCGGTTTAGCTTTTGTCATAAAAAATGTGATTAATAATAGCTCACACAACAAAAATGCATAAAAAAAGAATCATATATCTTTTTTTGCAGGTGACATATTGATTAAATTTATAGTTTTATTAAAGTTTAATGCCGTAATTTAATTTTAACCTATTAGAATTGTGATAAAATAAGGTTTATACTACTAATTTAGGATATTTTGGACTCCACATTATTAATATTTGAATAAATTTTATCCATTTTTATTATATCTAACGATTACAATATTGACCGTTAACGTAAATGCTTAAAACGACATCGTTTGAAGTATTTTTTAATTAAAAATAATTTTAAAAATATTTAATAATGATTAGTTTTAAGAAAGTTTAGATGATTTTATTATTTATAGATCCGACTAATTTTGTCGATGAATAATTAATGATATATAATGAATCTATCTACTAAAAAAATGACTTATTTTGTTTTTCAAAATTAGTTTTAATTTTAAAAAATATTAAAATACTTAAAACGATATCGTTTTTAGCATTTCGATCATTTAAGCATCTTAGGTTTTTTAGAATATATATATATATAGTTTCATTGAGAAAACTTAGATGATTTGTTGTTTATGGATTTGATTTTTGTTCTTATCTAATTAATAATTTGTAATAGATCCATCTAGTTAAAAAAAAATGAATTATTAAATATTTTTTTCAAAATTAATTTCAATTCCAAAAAAAAAGTGAAATTTTATTTTAGCTAATAATCAATATTTGATCATTAGATATAACGAAAAAGAATAATATTTATATAAAAATTAATAATTTAGAATTCAAATAGTTCAAATTGATAATATAGACTTTATTTTATTATAATCCTAATAGTTTGGATGTAAATTATGTGTTAAACGAGTTTTATTTAGGGTAATATTGCTAAATTTTTAACCTTAGGAATTTAATTGAAAGCATATATATGGCGAGATGATTGATTTGTAGTTTTCCTTGTGTTAAAATTGAGAGACGAAAGAGTGGGAGAAAATTCTTTATTGATGATACAAAATCATGCCTTACATCCCGGCCTCTCGCTTCATATATATATAGACTAACTTATATTCTAGAAGTTGTTACGATAAGAAAATCCTATAATTAATTTCTAATGACCCATTCTCGTGTGCCAATCATTGGCTATTGCGAGCTTGCGACAAATGGAACCTCCTAGCTCCTCGGATCGGTTGACAAGTGGCGAGAGGATGGGCTGCTGTGACTTCCAATGCTTGTAGGTGTGACGAATCATTATAACAAACACTTGGTGTGCAAGGTTAGTTATAACGATTCTTCTTCTAATTGTTCCCGAGATGTTACCATGCATTCTCTTCATGTACATACCATCTTGCATACTACGTTCACATATTTTAACACTCCCCTCAAGTTTGAGATTAGTAAAGATGTTTCTAATCCCAAACTTATTTAGTAAATGCTCGTGTTGTTTGCTACCTAGTCCCTTTGTGAGTAAGTCTGTTGGTTGTTCTTCGGTAGGGACATGTTGTGTGACAATTAGACCTTTGTTTAGCTGCTCCCTTACTAAATGACGATCTAGGTCTATGTGCTTTGTTCTTTCATGAAAAACTGGATTGCTTGGCTATGAATAAGGCTGATTTGTTATCACAAAAGAGTGTTCGTTGGCTTTATGTTTTCTTCTCCCAAATCCGCAAATAATCTAATTATCCACGTGACCTCACACACTGCATTAGCCATTGCCCTGTATTCGACTCGGCTAATGATCTAGAAATGGTACTGCTTTTTTACTCTTTCATGATATTGTAGAATCTCCTAATTTGATAAGAAATCCCGAGACCGATTTCCTTGTCATACAACATGATGCCTAATCCGAATCATAATACACTTCTAGCTTCAATTGGTTTGCGAGAGGACATTAGTAACCCCACTCCTAGATCTCCTTTTAGATACCTTAGAACTCTATGAGCTACTCGCTAAATATGACTATTTTAGCCTATGCATGAACCGACTTAGGAGTTGAACACCTGTAGGATATGCCTATCCCGGTGATTGTCACATAGATAAGCTTTCCTATGAGCCTTTGGTAGCTTGTAGGTCTGCTATCTCATGATCTCCCATGTTGTTCTTGGTCCCTTCATCAAACTCAGTCTGTAGTTAGTTTCAAATGTTGTTTTATAGATGTGTCTAGGGGTCTTTGCATTCATCATTCCAGCCTTTTCAAGTAATTCCGGAATGTATTTCCTATGTTTTAAGCACATTCCTTCCTTAGATCTTGCTATCTCTATCCTTAAGAAATATCTTAGGTCACCAAGATCCTTTATGTGAAATTTCTTATGTAAGAAATTCTTTAGGATCGTTATTTCTTCCTCATTATTTCTGTGATGATTATGTCATCTACATATACAAGTAAGATGACCATTTTCTTACCATTCTTCTTCACGGAAAGTGAATAATCATTCAATGATTGATTGAATCCGACTTGTAGCATAGCTTCACAAAATTTTATGTTCCCTTGTCTCGTCGGCTCGTTTCAATCCATATAGGGACTTTAGCAATTTGCACACTTTTTGCTCCCACTCAATCTCAAACCCCTCCGGAATTATCATGTAAACCTCTTCATTCAGGTCTCCTTGTAGAAAAGCATTTGTTACATCCATTTGCATCAATTTCCAATCTTTGACAGCAGTAAGGCTATCACGGACCTTACTCGTCATCATTTTTACAACTCGGTGAAAAAGTCTCTTATAGTCAATCCTTTCCTTTTGAGTGTATCCCTTAGCAACCAGCCTTGCTTTATACCTCTCAATGCTTCCATCTAAATTACATTTCACCTTATAAACCCATTTGCATCCTATTGGTTTCTTCCCTCCGGCGAGTGTTACCGAACCCATGTCTTGTTAAGATTCAATGCCTGCATTTCTTTTTGTATAGCTTCGATCCATTTAGGATCTTTCTTTGCCTCATGGTAAGTGTTTGGTTCTATGACACTGGCTAAGTTTGATAGGTATGCTTTGTATGTGGGTGTTAGATGTTCATAGGTTATATAATTTGAGATAGGATAGTTACCTTTCCTTTTGGTTTTGACGGAGTTGTTGCTGGGGATGGTAGGACAACGATAATCATTGGACCAAGCTGGTGGTTGGGTTATTCGAGTAGATCTTCTTAGGTTTATATCATTTTATGTTTCATGTTCCAATATAGAGAGTGAGGAATTTTGATTTTTGGTTTCAAAAGAATTGGTTAGCTGTTGAGAAATTGATACTTGGAGTGCCGATATCGGAATGTGTGGGTGTGAGATTGGATGCTAAAACTAATTCATCAAATAGAAAGTCATTGAAGAAGTTTTGAATTGGAGTTGAGGGTTTTGGTTTTAATTCAAAAGGAAACACATTTTCATAGAACAAAATATCTCTAGATACGGAAAATTTCTTTGAATGCATGTCATAAACTCTATAACTCGATTATCCAAAAGGGTATCCCATAAACACACATGGTTTTGATCTTGGACTGAATTTATCAGAATTATTCAAGGTTTTGACATAATAAAGGATTCCGAAAACTCTTAAAATGATTTATCTTAGGTGTTTTGCCAAAAATCATTTCGTAAGGAGTCTTGTAATCCAAGAGAGGTGTAGGAACTCTGTTTATCAAATATGTAGCTGTCGAATGCAATCTTCCCAAACTTCTATTGGCACATGTGATTGAAACATAAGAGATCTAGCAACATTAAGTATATGTCTATGTTTTCTTTCTACCCTACCGTTTTGTTGTGGTGTATAGGGTATAGTACTCTCATGAATGACTCCTTATCCCTCTAAAAATTGTTTACATTCATGATTCAAAAAATCTCTTGCTTTATCGGTTCGATTTTTTTTATATATTTACGCCAAATTGTGTTTTGATGAGGTGAACGAAGTTCTTGATAGTAGTGTTGGCATCACTTTTGAAATTTAGTAAGAATGTCCATGTTCCTCTTGAATAATCATCAACTATTGTAAGAAAATATCTAGCTCCATTGTGTGTAGGTGTTCTATAGGGTCCTCAAATGTCAAGGTGTAATAGGTCAAAGGTGTTTTCTGTTTTGGTTGGTGTTTTAGGGAAGGGTAATCTAGTTAGTTTTGCTAATGGACATATTGGACAATGTGTTTCTTCGGGTTTACATACATCTTTCAATGCTGATAGGAATTTAAGTCTTATGTTGCTAGCATGCTCGAATCTCATATACCAAATATTTCTTTTTGTTGATTGAGAGATTGCATTACAACTTGATTGAAAAACATTGTCACCGACAACTTTAGAAACTAACATGACACTAGAGAATGAAACTTGAGAATCTATGTTTTGTTGAGGCTTGAGGACTTGTGTTGAATGAGCATACGAATGTGTTTTTATCTTGAGATAATATAGTCCATTTTGCATCCTACCAATCCCCTTTATCAACCCGAGTCTTGAGGTCCTAAAATAGGCAAAAATCAAGGTAAAAAGATACAAAACACTAGTTGTCCTTGGTGAATTTCGAAATGGACAATAGGTTAAATTTAAAATCCGGTATGTGTAGCACATTGGTCGGTTTAAAATCGGGGGAT